TTGCATTGCGTAATGCCACAGCGCAGACTGAATTTTGAGGTCTAAACAGATGTTCCGCCTCATCATTCGCTGAGCTGATTTCGTATATAGCAGAGATTGGCTCTTTGAGTGTTTTGCGGGTAAGTAGACTCGCAGGCATTCCTTAGACCGTACGAAGCAAGAAAAAAATATTATTTATATATTTATTTAGGCATTTATTTATTGTACTCTAATGTAATTAGTATTAAAAGAGGGAGGGGCTTAACAAAACATACATTTATCTTGAACATAAGCACATAATAAACGTATAAGGAATGATAGGCCTGAAAACATCTGACACTAGGTGCAAAAAAAAACACAAAAAAACCCAGAAATATTGCATATTAATGTGATTGATATAGACGAGAACAGGATACATTATATAAGGTTATAAAGTGCTACTTAAATGCAATTGCCGTCACTGATTCTGAGAAAAAAAGACAGGGAGACGGTTCCATTGGAGATATGCCCTTAAAGAAAATGAGTATAAATACGCCGCTGGCATTTTGACTAGGTATATCGACTTTGCGGCAATGGCCAAGACACGGTGAAATAAAAGATGCAGGTTTAATAAAGAGTTAACTAAACAATTGACTGTGATGATAAGTCTTATGACGTGATGACGGGCCGGCACAGGTTTTTCTGAAAACAACAACGACAAGTGCATTTGAACACGAGCATCGCGAGCTTTTAATCACGCTGCTGGAGTCCGTTAATGTTTGCGTTTTGTCTTCTCGGCGGATACAAGTCTCCTTCACTTTTCTGCGCGTCTTGTTTTTAGCGATCTTGTCCTAATTTTCTTTCTCCTATTTGGAGGCGATGTCTGCGCACTCCAGCCAAAAAGCAACTGCCCTCATTCTACTCTCTTTTCTTACTCAATCAAGGAGCAAAAAAAAAAAATGAGCACTGGAGTTGGAAAGAGGAACGCCGGGAGTGAGAGTACGATAGTAAAAAAAGGCAAGAGAGACCAAGCGACTCGTGGGTTATTTTCACCAAGGGCAGTTATATGTTTGCGGAGATTTGGCCTTTCTAAGTCGACTGCGACCGCGTCTAACTTCCGAAAGCCATCCACGCTGGAAATTGGAGAGCGTAGCACTGGCCAGAGAGAGAAAGAGAGAGAGAGAGAATGACAGAGTTAACGCGAAGGTTCGCAAAAGGGGCAAAGCAAAGAGGAAAATCCGCAAGGGCATCTTGAATCATGCCATTACCGAAATGGAATAGTTCTGCTTTGTTTCGAGGACCCAGCGCGGTTGAGAGGATAGCTCGTTCCGGTCTCTACGTTGCCGGCAGTGCTAGGGATTCTACCCGTTCCAGACGCGACATCAAAGAGAAAGAAAGGAATGAAAGTACGAGAGAAAGAAATAAAGAAAGGAAGAAAAAAAAAAAGGTTTCTTCATTGTCATTACATGCGTGGCGCTACCACTCAAGACGGTTATCCCGTCCGGCTGCGCTTTATGAGCTTTCCATAGCACTTATAAATACATTTTGAAAGGGCGCCTCGTAACGACCGAGCGTGCAGCTATCGCTGTTACGCTCCGCGGCATAAAGTAGGCCCCGCTATCCAGAAAACAAGATTTTTCCATTTTCGTCGAAGAGCAGAAAACAAAGGCCAATGAAATATTTATCGCAAGACATCGTAAGGGCAGTTCCCTTGTACGTGGCTGGTCAATGTAAACAACGTCCCCCTCATGTTTTTGTTTGGTTTGTTATAATGATGATTGAAGGGCAGAGAGTTAAGCCTGGACTTCTGTCTTTGCTGGCTAGCCTGCACAGGGGAAGGTATAAATGGATAAATAGGGGGATGAGGTAATGACTATGAGAAGGAAGAACTGAAGAAATGAAGGGTTGAGTGGTTAAAGGTTGAAACAGCTAAATAGTTAGTCCCTTTTTGCCTATAGGGATTAGAGTAGACGGGTGTCCTGAAGGAATTAAACGGACGCTTTCTCGGCTCTCAAGGAATATTCTGTGCACTGCCATTCCCACACCACCTCGTCACAGGAAAAGAATTGTTTTCACGGCTCTAGACTTTCCTTTGAAAATCTTATTGTTCCACTGCATAGATAACCGAGTCCCAGGTGAGCTGACGTACGGTTTCTGGGACATCGGAGACTAGTTAGGGGGGCTGTCTCTTCTTTCTATACGATGCAGGAAGTGCCGGATAAACGCCACCCTCAATCGGAGTCTGTGTAGCACTGCCTGAGACCTGCGTATATGACTTTTAAATACCCTCACGTGTGGGAGTGTAATATAACCTCGGGGTACGTTGACATTAGTCTAATATCTGTATATAATTTGGTGCAGCATAATCGTTTGTATACTTCTACATCATGCTTTTTGTTTTAGACACGCGCAGATTTTATATTTCCGGGAGCTCGACTTTCTGCTTACTGGATCATTGACTGTGGTCAAAATATCAACTGCGTTTAGAAACTAGTTTATTATTCACTAGGTTATGGTCGATTAGATCCATCGCCCAAAATACGGGGGATACCTTGCAATACTCAGGAGAACAGACATGGCGTCTCGTCAACCGTTGTCGCATAACATACCTTTAAAACAAACCAAGAAATATCTTTAGTACGCCTGCGAATAAAATATACTGTCGCCGTTGTTTTCTAACTTGTGTATTCGAGCTAAACGTAATTTCTCTTACGTCTCTTTCTTTACTAAGGTGAATAAAAAAATAAGTGAGTGTCGAGCCGTGTATCAGAGTATACACCACAACTCACCATCATCATCATTTTTATTAAGGCGAAAAGCTTACATGTTTCATGGTTCAGTCGACCTTCAAGGTCTTTGAGCGAAAACACGTCGGCAACACGAAAGGTACCAAAACGAAAGGACCAATGAAACGGCGCCAAAAGTGCGTCGTCAAAGAGCACGCAGTCTTCGGAGGTTCGCTATCATGTTTACATCGGCACTTGGACTCTCGCTTTGAAGTCGTGTTAGGATAACATAAAAAAAAACCGTGTAAATGTTTTCTGTGCTCATAGAAAAAATAAAAATAAAAAAAAACAGTTGCCTGTAACTTTGTCTGGTGTTGACACTAAATATACCACTCGTTCGATGGTCACTATAGCATGGACTCGTTGTAATATGAAGCTAACTTAAAGCTCGTTACATTTGTTTTATATTTTTGTAGCTGACACAGATTTTTACTTACCAGATTGTGACTATACTGCGAGTAAAAAAACAAAAGTACGGCAAGGCGTTGTTAGGATGTCTTGTTTGCAGCCTCAATTTTACGAGGGTTAAATGTGGGTACTCACTGGTGTACTTGACAGAAGTGGTAATGCAAACAAATTATGGTATAGGGTACATTCCTTGCAAACAATACATCCCGGAAGCCTTCCTACAAGTTCAGCGCGAATACAGAAACGACTGCCCGCATATCTCAGTCCCCTTTATTAATCACGCAGTCTATTACTGCTCTATGCGGGCCAACAAGGTTTGCTCGCAAACATTAATCCAGACGCAACACAGAAAGTAAACTCACGTGAACAATTTTAATATTCGCCGCAAACGTAAAACCAATCAGGAACGAAGGATGAGCGAAGGACAGTCTATAAACAGAGGTAACCTTCCTTTTTTTAATTTAAATAGTTTTTGAGTAATTATGTTTTGCCAAATAGCGCACTGTTGTGAAAAAGTTGAAAAAAACTTTAAATTTCAAGGAAATGTTTTATTAGCCGAATGTATGCCAATAACTATAAAAACAAATAACGTACATTTTGCGACGGTCACAAAATGGCAACTGACTGGCTTGCTTAGTCGACCGTGGCTCTTTATTGCCTCTGTACTTTAGGTGTAGGGCTCCAGGGAGTCACTATGGTTTCGGCGGCCGGTCACAAATTCAGGCGACGGGAATCGAAGCTGACGCGAAGACATCAAAGCTAAGCAAACTTGACGCATGCGGCAATGCAAAAAATCACGATATATGGAGTCATAATTGTTTCTACGAGCGATATTGTTCCTGAACCTAGGGCTTTTCAACGTCACGCCAGTCAGGCCACCATACCGCTTACTAATGATCAATTAGCAGGCAATAAACTCAGACCCGTAGCCGAACAAGATTGTACGCAGGTTGCACTTATAATTATGTTAGGTGCATAGGAGCTCATGCGTCTGTCACTTTTTTATTTTGGTTCCTTCTTGCAATTTAAACTAACACCAGTCTCGTTATATTACTCAAAACATCTCTTCACCCCCCCCCCCCCCCATTTCCTCTTCCCCCGCAAAAAAAAAAAAATCAAAAAAAATCGGGAGTTTGGTATTGACTGTTGTTTCATCCCGAGCCGCTTTCCGCACTTGCCATCAGCGCCCTTTCCCTCTCTTTTCCTCGAAAAACGCGCCGCTTCCAAGTATCAACGTCAAACGAACTGATCTGGCTGGGAACGCGGCGACAGTGTAGAATTACGGGATTAAAGGAAGGGGGCGCCGTCAGCCTACCGAAAACATCGCTAACGACTCTTAGGCCAACAGTCCCTAACGCCTGGCGCCAATTTGGACGGACCCTGGACTCCCGGGAACAAGCTCCTCGGGAAGACCAGATTCGCGGGAGGGCAGCCGAGCGGGCGGCGTCGGCGTCCCCTCCCCAATTAGGAGCACACACACACGTTTCAAAACGCGGGGCGCCGCCCATTTCAAAGCCCCCCGAGCACGGACGACAGGCAGAGCTGTTGACACTCCGCCGCGCAAAGACGGCCGCCGCCATTTGTCGTCTTAGCCCCGGCGAGCGCTTATCTGTCTACCACCCCTCGAGGCTCGGACTTCAGAGGCCCGGAGTGCGATCTGTCGTCCCTAGGAAAAAATAACTAGCGAATATATAATTTGAATATGCGCATGCAGGGACCTGGTTTTTTGACACAGGTTGGAAACCAACTTCCTGCACGCAACACTTTTCGACATTCAGGCACGCTTTGTTTCTTGTTATAACAATAACGCCAATACGGAAATGTAACCGCAAAGGGAAACAAGACTACTTACCTTGCTAGTGGCTTATTTAGTCGCTAGGAAGTGGTTTCATCTGGAAAAAAGTAATATAACTACAATTAAAATTCGTCCTTGTCTTATTTTGACAAAAAATAGCACATCGTCATATTTGAATAAAAAATAGCACAACGTCTAATGTCTAGAGAACGCAAGGCCGCGTTAAAACGCATTCCTGCCCAGGAAAGTTCCCCTCCCCCCCCCCCGCACCGCCAGCACATACAGTCCGTCTCGATTTACGCGTTTTCATCTAACCGAAGCTGTTTCACAAGAAAGCTGCTCGCGCTCGTACAATAGCACCTAAACTACAAAGCCCGCGCATGGCATCACCTTTAGTAGATCCCCTCAAGCGACAAAAACGCGGAAGCTCGACGGACAACCCGTAGCCCAACTGTGGCTACGGGTTGAACTAACTGGAAAACACTCTCGTCAACATTTCAACGCACTATACCAAAATGCTACACACACTCTTAAAAACAAAAAAAAAAGAGCACCAACAAAAACAAAAACTAAACAAAAAACGGAATTGAGCTTATTTACCTGCAGAACACAGAGACGACCAATCACGGCGAATGACGCTCAGCTCATAATACGATTCCACCAAAAAAAAAAAAAAAAAGTGCGATGTGCGCAGGTACAAATGAGCATGACGATTTACATGCATTGTCCCTGCGCACATTGCTTTTTTTTTTTCGGACCTAATCGTGTCCTGAGCTCCGTCACTGGCTGGGAACCCTTTGGCTCTTCGCCGCGAGTGGTTGTTTCCGAGTGCTGCAGGAAAAGAGACCTCGCAGACTTTCCTTAGAGCGTACTACGTGGTCACCATGACTAGCGCTCGAGAGACTCGATTATCGTGTTTGGTAATGTATTCGGCAGCAGATACTCGAATCAAAATACTGTATTTACTCGAGTAATAGCCGCACTATTTATGAACAAGGCTCTTGCGTCTACTTTCCCTCAGAACACATATACAGCCAATCATCGCGTGGCGCATAAATAACATAGCGAATAACCAGATCGAGAACACGATTCTCCATACAAATTCAATCTTCACAGGTGGTATCTTCGCGCCGAAGACGTTATCTCTCTCCTGTAAACAGCTGGAATTATGCTGTCGATCGCGGTGATTGGCTATCTGCGTGCTCCGCGGAAAAGCGAACCCTCAGGTTTTCTTCATAAACAGTGCGGCTATTACTCGAATAAATACGGTACTACTACTACTACTACCAATAATAATAATAATAATAATAATAATAATAATAATAATCAATCAATCAATCAATCAATCAATGTTTTTATTCGTGCCCGGGAACAACCTTGCGGTCTTGGTACAGGTGCACTGTGTTAACATGTAAGGCAGAACAGGGTATAAAGCAATAGTACGGACAACACAAACAACGGACAAGCCCTAGAAAAATACACTTAAAAATTATAAAAAGTAAACACAAAGTCACAACACACGATAAGCTTAATGGTACTACCGCCAACACCAATTGCTAGAAAGAAAGAAAAAAAAAATGCATTCAAAGTGGGGAATTTCGGCGTGAACGCCGCAAGTTAGTGCATACAGTTCAAATTTAAGTGATCGCCTTTAACGTTTTTACAAACTGCAGCGTGTTATTGTTAAATATGTCGAGTGTTTCAGAAAAAGAAGAATTATAAGTATGCCCAAGTCTGGACACAGGATCGTGGAGGTTGAGTAGACGCCTGTTGCAGAAGGACGCATTTTGCCTTGTTGTTTTTAGAGGAATTTTTAAGAGTACTCTTGACGTCAATACCGTGCAATCAATCTTTATTATACAGTGCCCACGAACAACCCTGAGGTCTTGGTGCTGGTACACTGGTGGATAAAAAAAAATACATTAAACACATCTCCGCAGAAAAGAAGGTACATCTTTAAGCAAAATACTAGGCGGTGCACGACTAATTAGCAAAATAAAATAAAAACGAGGCAGTAAGAGTAGACACGGAACACAAGACCGAAGGACAACAAGTGCACCACCAGAAAGCAGGCCATGGAGATGACGAAATTCAGACATGACGGAGCCGTTCAGCAATGCTCATCCTGCACGGGCAGGTTTTTAATAGAAAGGACAAACGTCCTGTAGCAAGAGTGGGAAATATCAAGTTTTTCCGAGTAATGATACAAACGCTGTGCCATTCTCACAATTGGGTTTACCGGACTAAACGTCTAGAAACATAAAAAAGATGACAGAAGACGAGTAGGCACACGTGGGACCCTAAGGCACAGTTCAGATAACAGGCTCGGAGAATTGATGAGTCCATGCAGCGTTTTAAACAAGAATAGTAAGTCCGCGTTTTCTCGACGCCGGTGCAAGCTAAGCAAACCAACACTCTCTAACGCAGACTCGTATGCTAAACAGTGAACATCCTCCCTTATGTAGCAATGTTTAAAGATAGAAACAAACTTTTTTTGCAGACGTTCAATCTCCAAGAAGTGACTTTTAGAAATTCCATTCCAAACAACTGAGGCATATTCTAACTGCGACCTGGATAGCGAAGAATATAACGTGATAAAAGCAGTCGGGTTTTGGAACTCCCTGGTTAAGCGAGAGGCAACACCCAACATTCGCAAAGACGAGTTAACCAGCTTACCAACGTGATCAGAGAAACGCAACCCAGAATCAACCATGACTCCGAGATCTTTCATTACACTTACTCGAGACAAAGTCTCTCCTTGAATATTATATGCGAAAGAAATATTGTGAGTTTTTTTCCGAGAGAGCGTCATGACCTTGGTTTTGGACGGGTTCAAGAAAGGTCGTTTTCAGAGCACCATCGGTAGAAAGAACATACATCTTCGTGGAGCTTAGCACAATCATGTTCAGTAACTATTTCTCGATAAATTTTTATATCGTCAGCATATTGCAGGAATGTGGAATTAAAAAAAAGCAAAAGAGACGTCGTTTACGAAAATTGTGAACAGAAGGGGTCCTAAAACAAATCCCTGAGGAACGCCAGAGCGAGCCTTGTATAACGAAGAGTTAATGTTGTTGACCCGGATATACGCCTCTCTCTCTCTCTGACAAGTAGCTTGTTAGCCAGTCATGTACTGAGCCACATACTCCATAGGAGGAAAAATTTGATAAAATAATAATGTGATTGACTACGTCAAAAGCCTTACTTAAGTCAAAGTAAACAACGTCTAACTGACCTCTGTTGCATATCACACGAGATGCGGCAGACATAAAGCTAACAAGATTAGTAGTAGTTGATTTACTGCTCATAAAACCATGCTGATTGGGCATTGCTAAGTTTCAAAATTTGAAAGACAGGAATTGATGGACGACCATTTCAAAGAGCTTAGAAATAGGTATATAGTTACAAATATCCCCTTTTTCCCCCGACTTTTAGACCGGTACAACAGCAGCGACTTTCCATGTTTCAGGAAAGGTTCCCAACCTTAACGAGTTGTTAAATATAGAGCACAGTACCGGCGTGAATATGTCGTGATAAGTTCTGAGAATCACAGAGGGAATGCCTTCGGGCCCTACTGATAATGTTGCTCTCATTTTCTTAATGCAGGACCGAACGCACTCCTGATCGACATTAATGCAACTTAACAAGTCACCAAACCCATCTGAGTGAGGCAGCGCAGGTGTAGAACGCTGCGTACTATCTAGGGATGTCGCGAACCACCCTAGGTTCGATTTCGAAAGGTTTCGATATTTGCGAAGCGAACTGAGGTTCGATTTCGAAAAATTTCGATATTTTCGTACCGACCGAGGTTCGATTTCGAAAAATTCGCAACTTTTGTCCACAGCGGAGTTTCGAATTCGAAAAGTTCGAAGCTTTCACGGTTTCTAAAATTTCGAATTCGAATATTTCGAATATTTTTTTACTTCAGGTTCGATAAATTCGAAGATTTCGAAATTCTTTGTAAAAAAATTCGAAAACTTCGAACGCTTCGAATTTTTATAGACATGAAGTTCGAACAATTCGAAGATTTCGAATTTCTTTTTGCATAAAGTTCGAAAAGTTCGAAGGTTTCGATTCTCTTTTAACGCTAAATTAAAAAAAAAAAAAAATTCGAAGATTTTGAATTTTTTTTTAATCCAAGTTTTCAAAGTTCGAAGTCCGATTTTCAAGTTTTTCCACAGTTTCAGTTTCAAATAACGTTTTCACGACTCACTGGTTTTCTCAAAATCAAGTTTAGAAAAGTTAGGGTGTGATATCTAGATTCTGCGAAGTTGGTCAGGCAATTAAATGAGACGACGAGTGTCCCGGACGTGCTAGAATATTTGCCAGTGCAGAATTGTGACCGCCAGCCCCGGGGGGGGGGGGGGGGGGGGTCTTTAACCTGCATCACGCAGTAGTGATTGCACGAACACTGTTTTACGAGACTCTTCCAGTTCGAAACGGCCAGGGGCGAGCAGGAGGTTGAGGCTCAGAAAAACCTTGAAGCGACCTGGCAAACTAGCTCGCCACCCCTTGCACGCTGGTAGTAATCCGATCCGGTGAAGTTTATAATTGTCCTGGAGGTTTATTTTCTGGGAAGGAGGAATCGCCTCGCAAAAAGCACAAAAGCCGACACAACTCGAGGTTGAGGAGCGTTCTACCATACAAGTGGCGTCGGAAGAGGAAAAACGGGGGGAAAGAGGGTAGCGAGGGGGGGGGGGGGGGGGGGGGGGCTTTAGCCTTTTTTTCCCCCTTGCAGGTATTTCGGACTGTTAAAGAAAACAATACGGGGAAAGAGGGCGTGGTCGAGCTTATTTTAATCTGAAATTATTTATGCATATGTATAGCTAATGTCGCTCTTTACTGCATAAAAGGTTGCGTAGACGGTCATTGTTAGAAACTCGTTGTCAGAAGGCACTGCTCGTCACATGCTTAGTGGTTCGGAAGTTCAAAGCTGTCTTTTCGACCTAAACACCTGTGCCGATTGTAACAAAAAAAAAAAAAAAAGAATAAATGCGGAAATAAAAAGCAGGAGAAAAAAAAAAACTGTCAAGAATTCGTCGGAAGTGTTCTATTCTTGCATATTCAGAGGTTCAGAACTTCGAAACAAGTTTCTTT